AGAGAGACAGAGTTGTGACTTGAGACTTGACGACATTGGATCCAGACTTGACATTTGGGATTCAGACATTCCGACGAGGGACTATTTGGGCTTGTGTGAAGACTTGGTGTTGACGACATTCCCATCTTCTCCCTCCTCTTCGTCTATCCCCTTCCTCCTCGTCTGTGCATGTTCTGGGCTGGCGCTGTCTTCCTGTGTGGAGCGCCAGACCCATTCACACTATGAAACGATGATGATGATGTATGTTCAGGGCTGCATTACAACAAACATTGATTGTTCGGATCACTGGTATCTAAGTCTTCCGCTGTGTTATCTGGTACTTTGTATTGAAAGGTCGGTTCTTGTTCTGGTCTGCACGTTACAGTATGCAACATATTTTGTCCAGGGGATGGATATTGAGGCTGCCGACTCTAGGTTCAGAGTCTCTCTCCATTTGTCTTTAAGTTCGGGGTTCGGGTCTGTGGCCTGTAGGCCTAGGTTGTACCCGAATTTTATGTCGTATTCCATTATTGTCCTTGTTGTTCCGGATTTGCCTTGTTCCCATATCCACTCCTTTGGATCGAATTCGAGCTCTGCTATGCTGCTGTTAGGCTGAAAGATTATCCATGGTTTGGTTTTCGATTCCCTCACTTTTCTCAGCCGGAAGGACTCTTTTTTTTTTTTTTTTTTTTTTTTTTTTTTTTTTTTTTTTTTTTTTTCAGAACCCCTTGGTTCTGGCTCCTACTATTCTGGGGAGTGACAGTCCGGTTCCTATTCCCCCGGCAAATCATTGAATAATACAAGATAAAAACTCACCCCACGCTCCTCCCCATTAAGGTTGAGAGGCCCGAGTGGATGACATTGATTACTTCCTGTAGGAAGGATGTACCACCCCTCACCCCTGCCTAAGTTAGCCTGATGCGGCTAGCCTTTCATCTGGTGCACTGCTGGTCTCTAGCTGCGGCTCCCTGTTGAGGATGGCTAGTTCCTGAAGGTTGTGATTGGTGACAGGATAGGAGTAAAATTTGGACAGGTAACCGGTGGCTGAGGTGCGGGATACAAACCGGTATGCTCTGTTGCGCGAAGTTTGGATATGAGTGTACCTCAATCCTCTGGTTTCCAAGAGAAGTCTTCTTTCAAGAGGCGCAGCCAATGGGGTGGGATGCTCTTCTGAATTAGAATAAGCTTGTCTGCGAGAGAATGACAGCCTTTTAGAGTACATCGGAGTTCTTGTTACGTTAGCCCCGTTCTTCTGCCCATAGGTGTTTTACCTGCCACACCCCTTTTTCGACCCACGACATCCATCTTCGATCCTTCATTCTTAGTGACCAGGGAGTACCCTCGGGGTCCTTGATCCAATCGTTACAAAACAGCGGTTGTCTCAGGACCTCCTCTTTGTTATCAGTTGTGCCATGTTTGCTTGGCCTCATTTGTCACCAGGCTTTCAGAGTCGGGGCTAGTACAGGTTGGGTGTTGGGGCTGCCTGGTTGTCTGAGTTTCGTGTGGTTCTTCTACGGGATCTGTCTGATTTTATCGCCCACTCCTTTGCCATAATCCAGAAGTAGCCGCTCATGTTAGGTGGGGAGCTTATCGATGCTAGGTTTCTTATGCTATCTAGCGCCATCTTGGTCCATGGTAGGTATTGTCTGGTCAGGATCTTGATGATCCATGTCATCTGGAGTGCTGTTGATTCCTGCTTGGGGTCGATCAAACTTAGGCCTCCTAATGATGTGACTCCATGCTACCCTGTTGATGCACGAAGTACGGTTGGGATCCCCTGTCCATAGGTAACATCTTGCTCTGGCCTTTATGGTTTGGAAGTCGACATCCGGGGGAGACCAAATGGATGCAATTATTGCAATGTACCATAATGTGGAAAAGATAGTCGTGTTTATTATTAGTGCACTCCCAATCAGCGATGCCTGTGCGTTCTTGCACGGGGACAGGCAAGTTATTGCTTTGGCAATTAAGCTGTGGCCCATTCCTAGCCACACGCCCTCTTTGTTGACCATGATACCTAGGTATCTGAGTTCCTGTTCACTTGTGGACCACGACATGTGTGTGGTTGTGCCCTCGGGTTGGGGGGGTGTCTCGTTTGCTAGCCACCATCCTTCGGTTTTGCTCCAGTTGACCTTCATTTCGGATGCTAGATGGAAAGCCTCCATAGCCTTGGCGAGAGCTTGGAAGGAACTGTTGTTGGCACGGATAAGGACTGTGAGGTCGTTTGCGAACATCAGGGCAGTTGGTTGGGTAAAGTCGTGCAGTGGGTTGAAGTTTCGTTCGGTGAGTCAGTCTATGTATGGATCTTTGCGGAGGAAGGATGCTATGGCTTTTGCGAGGCATAGCGCCTCGACATGCCCTACAGGGCCTATTTTTCACACTGTCGGCCGCCCTAAGTGAAGGCAAGCACAACTGAGGCCCTACAGGCCATATTTGGGGTCACCACGCAACTAAGGAAATTCAGGCAGTTGCGCAGCGCCAGTTGGTTGAAAGCGCCCAGGCCCAGGCTGCCTTCCATTGCATGTAACTGAGGCAGGCCCTGTGCTGGATACACAAAGTGGACCGAACAAAGGCTGAGGGCAGTTGGGTGCTGGCAACCGACACAGGCCTTGGGCCTGTTACTTCGGACTGAGGCTCAACCTCGTGGGGCCTACCGGAAGCTTCTGGTACAGGGCCTAGTACCTCACGAATGCACGCAGCAGCAGGCCACTTCGATACAGGGAAGGGCCTGCCTCCGCATTGGAGATTCGGGCACTGGCTGCTTTGTGCGCAAGCGCTGCTGCGCTATCGCCTGCCAGGCTCACGTGCTCACGGGCGAGCTGGAAGGAGCAGGCAGCCATAGCCAAGCTGCGCTATCTGTGAGTTGGGGAACGAGGTTGTGAGTGATACGAGAGACATACTTGGTGCTTGAAGCGTGCGGCATTGGCCGAGATCTGCTCGTACTTCGGGGAGCTGTTGACGTCATCAGCGGCATTGTAGAGTAGGCTAGATAGGATCTGCCATCTGTAGTCTGGGCGCCGAGCGCCAAATAGGATATCAACATTGGTTCTTCGTTGATGATGATGATGAGACTATTCCAACATTGTCAATTATGAGCTTTTGGTGTGCTCTTATTTGGTGAAACTCGTGATGCAATTCTGCTTTTGGTTCGAGGTCACGACTATCTGGTCTCATGTGTATGATGTTGTTTGATTGCTGAAGTTCGCTATTGCTCATCTTCCATGCAATTTGGTATCGGAGTTGTGGTTTGGTGCACTAATCTGGCGGTTATCTTCTGCCTAATGCGGTACATGCATGCGGTGTGTACGGTGAGCCACCGTGTCGTGGGACGTGTGTAGTGAGGAGGGCGAAAATAAGTGGCGACCCAGGAGGTGAGGGGTATCGCCAGGAAGGCTGTGTGGTGATTATTGGGTGTTCGCAGTGTGATGAGAACTATCCGGTGTGTGATTGATGCTGAGGTGGAACGGTTGTGCAATGCTGGTTGTGCCGAAGCAGCGATTGGTCATCACAATCAACATCGGGTCATCTGGTGAGAATATCTGTGGTTGGGTGCAACTATTTTGAGGTACGTTGCACCTAACCTTATCTACCTTCTTCGACACTTCTTACCGTGAGGATGTGTGTTCTGTCTTGAGAGTCCTCTCATGCGAGGAGTCGTGTGCACGTGGAGCATCTGGAAGGAGAGGGCAGAGCTATCTGCCATCTCCCCTTAACATGCGGGTTCTCAGCAGGTCCTAGCTTGCTGGTTCCTGTACAGACAGTGTTCTCACAACCTCCGTCTCAGGTTGCCGTAAGCGGGCAGCCTGCTGTCTCGCAGCCTGCACAACTGCAGGTTTCACAACCCCAGCAGATAGTGCAGCAGCCTGCACCACAGGGTCCAAAATCCGGATTGGTGCAGGTACAGGGACAAAGTCAGTGGATACCAAAGACGGCCATCGCCGCTCCTAAACCCTTCACAGGGCATAAGAGAGGCGAAGACCTCGACACTTGGTTGAGGGCAGTGCCGGTCTACATCAAGTGCAAACTTACCTTGCCACACGAGGAAGTGCTTGTGGCTGCCTCCTATTTAGAGGGGAGTGCGACACGATGGTTGAGTCGTTTAGTGCAGTTACAGGGGTACAGTCATAACTTTCGCGCTTGGGCGGTCACCTAGAAACTGGATGACTTTCTCAAGTTGGTGGAAGACAGGTGGCATGATCCTCAGGAGGCCCAAAAGGCTACTGATGCGATCCTGACACTGCACACGAGGCAATTTAAGTCAGTAAGGGAAGACACTGACGATGTAGAGCGTCCGATCTGTGTCCCTGGGGTGCGCTATGACCCCCAGGTCTTACTCACCTCCTACCTTAGATGCTTTCCCATGCCTCTCAGGAATCAATTGGCAGGTGAGGCCAACATCAATATGCACAACTTTCCCTCGTTTAGCAAGTTGAGGCAAAGATAGGGCATGGGCAGACACCCACTACGGATGGTAGGAGAAAGTCACTGCCTCCCAACTGGAAGGTGAAGGGCCGCATTATGTTCGTGGACAACGACGATTCAACCATCAAGTTGGACGAAGAGTTCCAGGCGGGAGTAGGTTCAGAGGATGGCAGCGTAGAGGCTTCAGGGAGTGGAGTAGTCGCTGTCGTAGCACAAAAAGGTAAGGCGACCGGTAGACGCCGAGGAGGTTCCCGGTCAAGGAGTCAAGTTGACCCCAACGCTCCTCCATGGGAGAAAGCGGGTCTCACAGAGGACGGGAGGAGAGACAGGTACACCCGGCATGCCTGTATTCGTTGTGGTCAATATGGCCACAGCCACACAACCAATTCAAGTGCCGAATAAGAAGGTGACATAGAAGATCCCGCCTACGATGGGGCAGGCATTGGGATCCTCCACTCTCGTTGGTGGCAATGTGGCCAGCAGTTCTGGCACCGCTCCGGGAAACACGTCGGGCCAATAGAAATAGTGGTTGTTCCTGCTAGGGTCGAGGTGGTGGACACACCCTCACCATCTCGAGAGATGGCCCAAGCTACTGACTCCATCGTCGTCCCGCAAACACGTTCAGACCCATCGAGCCTCTGTTCGATGAATGTGTTTGAGTCCTTAGAGGAGCTTGAGGAGGAGTGGTCTAGATCAGACCCGCTAGCTTCTTGGACGGCATTTGTCAAAGCCCCTAAGGGTGAGATGTTCGTCAGCGAGGTAGTCATTGGCGGCCACAAGGCCGGGGCCTATTATGACACTTGCTCGACCAGGAACTTCATTAGTTGAGCGTGCGCTGAGTGGCTGCGTTTACAGGGGCGAGTGCAGCGCCTGAGTCGACCTGTGGAGTTTTTGTGACGAACCAATTTCTGTTCCGCGCGATTTTCTGCGCAATGACAATGAGGGGTCCTAAGATGGGAAGGTTGGGCCAATTACGGGAGATCGGGATTGAGGGAAAATTGCATCGATGTCCTCGCTTTTTCGTCTTTTCTTCTTCGTCGCTTCTTTTCGGATGGCTGGGTTCAGGGCCGGGCAAGTCCCGAGATGACCAATTGAGTGGCTGACGCGCCGACAAAGGCGCGATTAATAGTGGTTGACGTCACTTCTTTCCTGTTCTGTTGTCGGATTTTAGGCGCGGAGATCGCGCGGGAATTTTTGCTTCGTTCTTTTCGAACTTTCCTTTCTTTTCTTTTTGAATCTTGTCGAGCCTTGACGGCTCTCGGAACTTCGGATTTTCTTTTCGGAATTAGTATTTCTTTTTGCATTAGCTAGGAATTTAGGAATTCGGGATTTCTTTTGCCGCGTGCTGTCTTTCTTGCGCGCTTCTTTTTGCGGCTGCAACGGAGTTCTGATTAGTCGGCGCCCTTAATTTTGCAAGTAACTGTAAATTTTGGGTGGGCGCCATTGTAACTGTATCTTTCTTCTTGAACTTCGTCTTTCCCGCTCCTTCTTTCCCTTTTGCTGTGCCTAGTTAGCACCGCGGCCTGTATGCTCGGATCGATGCGTGGAGAGTGGCTACGTCCCCCACGCCGCGGTCTGACCATGCAGAACGTAGGCGCTTCCTCTTCTAATCTCCTTTCTAAGTCCTTGCAATTCCGTGTTCTTCGCGCATGCATGCACACTATAAATTCCGGCTGCGCGATTAGATAGCTTTCTTAACCAGTTGTCGGAAGCTCGGGGTAGCGCGATCAGTGAGGGGCGGCTCACGAGCGAAGTAAGAGGTGAGTTGAAGTGGGAGTCGGGCGACCTGACGAGCTGGTGCCGAATGCGCGGGGTTGACGCGTGGGGCTACGACGGACTGTAGCGCGCAGGCGAACCTGACGGGTGCAGGAGGACTAAGCGGGGTGACGACTTCGTGGGTTGGTGCGTGACGACGGACTGTTCGCATCGGAGAGAGAGAGAGAGAAAGAGGGAGCTGAGGTTGATGGACGTGGATTTGCAATTTTCTTTGTCTTGTCTCCCTCTTTGCTTTTGTATATAAATTTTGATCTGGGCTCAGGGCGACTCGCCCATTTTTCCTTTGTTTTCGGAATCTTTGCCTCGACGATTTGTCGTGATCTCGTTTATTGTGTGTTTTGTCGAATGAATGGATGAATGAATGTTATGTTTGTTACTTCTCTTTTGTCTGGTCTTTGCCTTGCTTGCCATTTTTTATACACTCATTAGCGTAGCAGAAACTCTTGCGTAGGCACCCTTACTGTTTCCCTTACCGCTTATCCCTTTGATCCGTCGTTGTTGTTGCGATGGCTAATGGGTGATAACACCTTGCATGCTCGGGAATGATTGCTTGCGGGACCATGGAGTGATTAGATGATTGGGAAGTTGTTTACAACACATGGCGATTTTGCATTAGATTCTCATTTTTCCAAGAACAAGTGAATACCTCGCGGGGATATGTGTAAGCGCGATCTGATCTGCGCAGCCTACACGTATCCACGCGCACCAATTCGCGACTGTTGACGAACTTGACATATCCGGTATCGGGTAGGCAGGAATTTCCCTCCCCCACACCTAAACGGACTGGAATTTCCGATATCACATCGGCAAAATTCCCTTGCCGGTTAGATGCGTGCGGAAGAATTCCACTACCCCGCAATGACAAAATGCCGAGCTCCGGGGACTCCGAGTACTTCGACCCTTAGGTGAGAGAATGTATTAGGCAAAGATACCCGGAATTCCCCTGCCTAACCGAGAATCGATTGTGTCCCAGGGAGTTTCACTGTGCCGTAACCAGCGATCCAAGGTGCCCCGATTTTCCCACCACGGATAACACGCAATACTTCATATCCCCCGGCTTCATCGTTATCGCTACCAACTTCCCTCCCTTTCGTCTCCCCCTTCCGTATCACCAACTCACGGTGGTACCGTGGAATTCCATCGCCCCGTATTGGCCCCGCACGCCTTGCGGAAATTGCCGGCGACGCGGCAACCGACGAGCCCCTGAAACTAGGGGGCCTAACCAAAACACGCGACGACAGACGCCACGTGTCTGCACCCGAAGGTCCGACTCATCGGAATCACAACCATCGCGGGCGGACCTCTTCCCGAACCGCCGCCACCAAAACAGACGGATCGGACGACCTTGAATGCACCGCGCATGCCATCTGCCTTAGGCTCCACTACCCCGACCGCCATGAGTTCGGAAGTAACTCGCCCCCTTAGCTCTATTGCATCTATGCCCCTGAAACCTTGCCACAGGAGATCTCAGTTCCGACCTGGGACTCCACCCCCACTTTTCCCAAAAATCCTTGGCACACCCCTTTTCGCACTTCCAGGCCCACATCCCACTCCGATCAGGAAGTCGCGCCGGGCGTGAGGTTGGGCGTCACATCGACCTGTGCCAACAAATAGCGCATGGTAGTCAACGACTACCTCCAGGATGTTGAGTGTTGTTTCCCGTACGCAGGAGGGGAATTGAGATATTGAGTATCATTTCTAGTGAGTGATGATCTCCCTATGGATATGTTGTTAGGTATGTACTACCTCTTTGTGGCACAGCCCCAGTTTGACTGGGACCGAAAAGTGGTCAAACACACTTTGCCAGGTGGAGGGACCGTCAGATTACGGAAGTTCAAAGCTAGTAGTCTGATCGAGTCCTATGGATGCATGTGTGTGGCCACGTTCTATAATTACTATAAGCAAAATCAGGGCGAGGGTATGTATCTAGTTTATGTCTCTGTTGCAGGCGAGCCGGTGAAAATGCCGCCGGAGATAGAGGAAGTAGTCGCTAAGTACCCTGATCTACTTGAAGAGCCGACAGGGGTTGTTGAGAGGGAGGTCGTCCACACGATAGAGATTATCCTAGGGTCTAACATCCCGAAGGATAGGATCTATCGGATGTCTCCAGGCGAGCTTGACGAGCTTCGCCAGCAACTCAAGGAACTCATAGAGAAGGGGTGGATCCGGCCGAGTGTCTCTCCTTATGGCTCTCCAGTCTTATTCGTACCAAAGAAGGGGGGCACTTTGAGGATGTGCATTGACTATAGGGGCCTCGTTGCCATCACTGTCAAGAACCGAGAGCCCCTACCGCGCATCGACGATTTGCTAGATAGAGTGCAAGGGTGTCGGTACTTCAGTAAGATAGATCTGAAGTCCGCGTACCATCAGATTGCAATCCGGCTCGAGGATCAACACAAAACCGCATTTCAGACCAGGTATGGTCTGTACGAGTTTGTGGTGATGCCTTTCGGCCTTTGCAATGCTTCTGGAACCTTTCAGCACGCTATGAATCGGATCTTTCATGACTACTTGGATAAGTTTGTCATCGTGTACCTCGATGACATACTTATCTTTAGTAGGACTGTCGAGGAGCATGTGGCTCATTTGGACAAAGTCCTTAGTCTCCTTAGACAGCACAAGTTCAAGATTAACGGTGAGAAGTGCGAGTTTGGCCGCACCCATATCTTGTACTTGGGTAATGAGATTTATGTGGAGGGATTGAAGCCCGATGACGCGAAGGTGGCCAACATTCGTGACTGGCCGCGTCCTCAGTCTGTGACTGAGATGAGGTCCTTCTTAGGGATGACCAACTATTATCGCAATTTTGTGAAGAACTATAGCATAGTTGTCGCCCCTTTGACGGACCTGACCCGCCTTGACACCCCATGGGAATGGACAGACAGGTGTGAGGCTGCTTTCAGACAACTGAAGCATGCGTTTACGCATCATGAGGTCTTGAAACTTCCTGATCCTGACAAGCCATTTATAGTAACCACGGATGCTAGCCAATATGGCATAGGCGTCGTGCTTGCGCAGCAGGAGGGGCCAAAGTTGAGGCATGTCAAGTACATGTCCAAAAAGATGCCCTCTCAGAAGTTTGCTAAGTCCACCTATGAGAAGGAGCTCTATGCGATCTACAAGGCGCTCACCCATTGGAGGCACTATCTCCTTGGGAGGTTCTTCTACGTCAGGACTGATCATCAGACCCTGAAGTGGATGAGAACCCAGCCTGTGCTCTCTGACGCTCTGAAGCGTTGGATTGAAGTCATAGAGCAGTATGACTTTGAGCCCCAGTATATCAGGGGTGAGTATAACAAGGTTGCTGATGCGTTGTCGCGTGTACCTGATTTCTCCGGAGCGCTGATTACTGAGTTTGGACTTGCGGACGATGTCACTCGCTCCATGGTGGAAGCCTATCGCGAGGATCCGTTCATGTCTGAGATCATCCGCAGACTCGAGGCGAAGGACAAAGTGACTTCTGCCGAGTTTGAGTTGGTCAACGACTTGCTGTTCCTTGAGAAGGCTGGGAATAAGCGTTTGTGTGTGCCTAATAGAGAGTCTTTGCGCAGTTTATTTCTAGGAGAGTGTCACGACGCCACCGGCCATTTTGGTTTCAAGAAGACTGCAGCCAATTTGTTGCAGCAGTTCTGGTGACCCACAATGATGAGAGATGCCAAGCTGTACGAGGAGACTTGTCAGGTCTGTCAGAGAGACAAGCCCCGTACACAGGCCCCTCTTGGGCTCCTCAAGCCCCTTCCGATTCCGGAAAGGCCTGGTGAGAGCCTGTCCATGGACTTCATGGACACACTGGTCACCAGCAAGAGTGGAATGCAACACATGTTTGTCATTATGGATAGGTTTAGTCAGTATGCTAGGTCAGTTGCAATGCCGGAAACAGCAAAGAATGAGTACGTCATTAAGCTGTTTAAAGAGAACTGGGTCAGAGATTTCGGACTGCCTAAGTCTATAATTAGTGACCGGGATGTGCGATTCACCAGTGAACTATGGAATGCCGCAGCTGCAGAACAGGGCACTCAGTTGCAAATGACATCAGGCAATCACCCAAAGGCGAATTGGCAGGCAGAACAGTTGAGCCGCGCTGTACAACACCTGCTGAGGCACTACATCAAGCCAAATCAGGTAGACTGGGATGAGAAACTTGCTCTCATCGCCAGCCTGTATAACAATGCTGTGCATAGCGCTACGGGAGTGAGCCCGAACAGTCTGCTACTAACCGTCAAGCCTAGACTGCCCTTGGATTTCTTATTACCTGAGAACCAGTCCGCTGCTGCACCAGGAACCTTAGAGTTTGCTTATCGAGAGCAACTGATGCAGCAGGCAGTCGAACAGATGCACAAGGCACAAGCGGCGATGATAGAAACTGAGAACAAACACTGCCGCCCATCTACATTCCAGGTAGGAGAAAGAGTTTAGGTTAAGTCCTCAGAATTGGGACAAGAGTACGGGATCTCCCGTAAGCTCATGCCACAGTACTTTGGACCATGGGAGGTTCTGGATGTCGTTGGGGAAGATCCGGATGGGCCATCTTATGTTGTCCGGATTCCTGGTCATCTTCGCACTTACCCTGTCTTTCACGCCTCCAAGCTTGCACCATTCAAAGAAACTGATCAGTTTCCCTCTCGTCGCTCAATGCTGCCCCCAACCATGGATGGAGAGGTCGACATCGATGACATCGTTGACCATAAGGAAATGCCAGTTCCAAGACCGACAGGCAGGGGACGTCCTTCGAAACCGAAGCTGCAATACCGGGTTCGGTTCAGACATCACACTGATCCAAAGGAGGATCCATGGTTTACCAGGGAGGAACTGATGCAGACCGCTCCTCAGGTTGTGGCCCAATATGAAAAGTCTCTGCAGAAGGGAAAGCGCCAGATTATCGAAGATTGAACTTCTCAGAGGACTATCGAAGTATGGAGGAGGGAATGCGAGGCATAGGGCCTCGACATGCCATACAGGGCCTATTTTTCACACTGTCGGCCGCCCTAAGTGAAGGCAGGCACGACTGAGGCCCTACAGGCCACATTTGGGGTCACCACGCAATTGAGGAAATTCAGGCAGTTGCGCAGCGCCAGTTGGTTGGAAGCGCCCAGGCCCAGGCTGCCTTCCATTGCATGTAACTGAGGCAGGCCCTGGGCCGGAGACACAAAGTGGACCGAACAAAGGCTGAGGCCAGTTGGGTGCTGGTAACCGACACAGGCCCTGGGCCTGTTACTTCGGACTGAGGCTCAACCTCGTGGGGCCTACCGGAAGCTTCTGGTACAGGGCCCAGTACCTCACGAATGCACGCAGCAGCAGGCCACTTCGATATAGGGAAGGGCCTGCCTCCGCATTGGAGATTCGGGCACTGGCTGCTTTGTGCGCAAGCGCTGCTGCACTATCGCCTGCCAGGCTCACGCGCTCACGGGCGAGCTGGATGGAGCAGGCAACAATAGCCAAGCTGCACTGCTGTATGCTGAATGGGGCGCATGGTGGTCCTTGGGTGCAAGTGGCATCTGTGAGTTGGGGAACGAGGTTGTGAGTGATACGAGAGACATACCTGGTGCTTGAAGCATGCGGCATTGACCAAGATCTGCTCGTACTTCGGGGAGCTGTTGATGTCATCAGCGGCATTGTAGAGTAGGCTAGATAGGATCTGCCATCTGTAGTCTGGGCGCCGAGCGCCAGATAGGATATCAACATTGCTTGTTCATTGATGATGATGATGAGACTATTCCAGCATTGTCAATTATGAGCTTTTGGTGTGCTCTTATTTGGTGAAACTCGTGACGCAATTCTGCTTTTGGTTTGAGGTCACGACTATCTGGTCTCATGTGTATGATGCTGTTGGATTGCTGAAGTTCGCTATTGCTCATCTTCCTTGCACTTCCATGATGAAAAGGAAAATGGGTGGAGCTAGGGGGTCTCCTTGTCACACGGACCTGGAGATGGGGTAGGTTTCGATAGGATCCTATTGACGTGGAAGAATCTAAAAACGTGAAGTGGTGAAAATGCTGAGAATTCCACACCCCATCCCCCCCGCCCGTCTCCCCCCGTTTTGTTTTCTTTAAGCCTTTAAGGAGGAGGTGTTCATAATTTTCAGCACCTTCATCACTTCAGAAATTACAGAAACTTCATAGTATATTTGTATATTAAAGTTGACGATTCCAAAAACTTTGAAGTGGTGAAGATGCTGAAAAAATTTGAACCCCCCCCCCCCCCTCCTCCTCCTTGTTTTGTTTTGTTTTGGCGGGGAGGTATTCAAAATTTCACTACCTACGTAAATGCTGAATTGGCTAACCACCTCTCTCTTCATTTATGCAATCCCTTTGTTTTTTTTTTTTAACACACGTCCCCACCAGTGCTAGTGGTGCTGGTAAGAACAGTCACCTCTAGCACCTGGGGAGAGGCTCCATCTATTGGTGGGGAGCATCACCTGCTGGAAAACGGGTCCAGCGTCCCATATACAGAAAATACAGAAAAACAGAGAATATACAGAAGATGAGAACGACTGAGACCAGTGTGAACGGTAACCATAGGACCTGCTGGCATTGATTGCCCTGCAGCTCAGGGGATTAACTGAGCAGGCCTACTTTCCACGCTCACTCTACATTCAAATCTTTAGCCACTCACCCCCCCATACCATTCCATGGGGCCGAAGTGGAATGGGGGGGTTGATCTTTGTTCAGTCTTGGAAACTTAGGTAATGGTCCCTTTACCCTTTCTCTACGTCTTCCCCCTCCCTTTCCCCTCCCTTCCATATTAGCTTGGCGATCCAGCCCCCTTGCCCCCCCACCCAGCCAATCTGTGCAGAACCTCTGTGCTGTCTTATTTCCAGTTTAGAATGTAGATATGTGATATTTTCCTTGTCCCATTGAATGGAAATATCATTTTGTATTTGTTCTTTAATTGAATTGATGAACTCTGTTCCATCCTGGCATATTCCTTCCATTTCTAGTGTGCATCGTCTCCGCCAGATAGCCCAAATAATCGCCCGGGGGCCGGCGCCCTATTTTAAACATGTTTTCTTCAGAGGGGGTAGCTTGTTCTGGAGCCCATGCCTCACAGAGAAGTGCTCTCCAGTCCCATGGCCATGGTTGCGAGGTGGCTAGTCTCCATATGTGGTCCCACCACCTCCATAGCCATATTGCTGCCGGGCACAGCAAAAACATGTGCTCTATGGTTTCAGGCCATTTTCGGGCCGGGAAGGCTGATGTACATATCTTGCACCACGGGAGTGCAATCCCTAATTTCCTTACTCTCCATAATAGAGTTGATACTTTTGTAGAAATGCGTCCCCCTGCTTGCTTGGAGATCGAACTTGAGGTGAAGAAGATGGCCTTGGGATACCGTTGAGGTAGGACAGTGGGTCTGTACCAGTCGAATGCACCGAGCCTATTAGACTTTTCGATATAAGTAATCAACCCTTGAGCCTGACACGTATTGTCTTCTATTCCTTTTTTAGGTATGCGAACCGCTTGTCTGTCAGGAATAGTCTTCTGAAAGGGTCAGTGATTAGTCTCTCTGTCATGTGACTGTGAACCAGCAGAGCACCTCCCAAACTGAGCCTTCAAACTCCCATGATCCTGCAGATAATCTGTCTAATCTTTGGTCTAAGTTAGCATTCATCTCTGGATAATGATATGTGCCTGGCCATCTCATAGTGGGAGAATATTATGTGATTAGCATTGCCCACTATTGTAGTCAGTTTGGATAATAGACTGCGATAATCCTGACTTTTCAACCCTTGAATTGGAAATATAATCTAACCCATCTCCCCTCCTCATCTCTGGATAATGATATGTGCCTGGCCATCTCATAGTGGGAGAATATTATGTGATTAGCATTGCCCACTATTGTAGTAAGTTTGGATAATAGACCGCGATAATCCTGACTTTTCAACCCTTGAATTGGAAATATAATCTAACCCATCTCCCCTCCTCATCTGCTGCTCTCTCCCCCAAGGCTATCCTACCAGCAGCTACGAACTTGTTATGGACTAGGATAGATGTTCTTGTGCAATCAATTCTGCACTCAAGACATTCAGCTACTATGAATTCATGAAACAGGACAAGAGCATGATGGAAAAGGGCAAGTGAGGAGATATCGCTAGCACATACTACCCAAGATGCTTGTTCCGGTCACTAGAATCTTTAAGCTTGCTTATCGTCAAGGTGAAAGAGAAAACAGAAGACCTACCTCGTGTCATCATAAATTGTCCCATTGAAGTAGTTGTCATTAAGATTGATTTTCACCCTGGAAGGCAGGAGCACAAACAGGAGTTTGTTGTCAGAAACTCAAGAACCCTGAACGGAAATTCCATGGCCACCGAATGACACCCATCTTTAACCATTCTATTAACTGCTGTTCAATGGGGGCGGGAAGGTCACTTTCATCGCTTCAATGGCAAATTGAGAATTCCTTTTCAAGAGGAGGCAACCCTGCTGCACAAGACACTGTCTTCCCTGCATTTTCTAGGTAACGTGGAGCACGTCCAAGGTTTAGTTGCTTGGGTTGGCAGTTCGTTGCTCACACTGAGGGGGCAACCTTATTCTCCCCCATCAAATGCAAGAGGTGTCAGGAGTGATCTTTTGTCAGCTAGTGCTGCACAAAGGCAGGCATGACACGTAGCCAGGTGTCATGATGGTGTCGGGACACAAAAAAAGCAGGAAGTGGATCAAGAGGAGGAGAGGGGTTGGAGCACACAAAGATTAAGGGTTGCAAATTATTAATGATCTAAACCTCGATTGGACTGAGCAGTCACTGGAAAAAGAGTAGGGGATGAAGATGGTGGGGCATTGAGGAGAAGACCAAGGATGTCACATTGGGATGGAGATGGTCAAAGAGGAGGAAGTGCAGGGGAAGTGGGTAAGAGCAGTTGCGCTTGAACCACACGGGAGGAAGAGGAGAGGGCAAGGAGGAGAGAAAGGTGGATGATTAAAGCTCTGTCATGTCAGCTATCAACCACATCGCTGGAACTCTGATTCACATGGCTAGCTTCTTCCCCTGGACAGAATGCCCCATCATCATCACCGTATTTGGACTGGAACAGGGTTTGCATATATTCATGATGATGAGGCGTTATGTTTGGGGTTCAGCATCCACAACCACAAGACCATTTCCCAGCCACATTGTGGCGG